AAGCGATGTTACCCCATACCCCCGGGCACCAAGCTCGTTTTGATAGTTATTTCATCGAATCCTGCCACATGTGGTGGACAACGAAAGAGATTTGAAATGCTTAACAATTCGCAAACAGGCGAAATTATTTACATTGTCTCTATGCCTGTTTGCGAATTGTTAAGCATTTCAAATCTCTTTCGTTGTTTACTCCCCTCAAGGAAGGTTCCTTGATGTTGGTGAGGGGCTCTTGATTTAGGGAATTGGATCTGTGCTCCAGGTCCCCGAATTAAGCCTGAATGCCTTCCACATCCCTCCCCCAGGCGCTGTATAATCCTCCGGGTTTAGCGCTTCCCCCTTGATTATAATAATAATAATTTCGTTGTCCACTGCATGTGGCAGGATTCGATGAAATAACTATCAAAGTGAGCTTGGTGCCCGGGGGTATGGGGTAACATAGCTTAGCTTCGGCTAAGCGCTCGTGCTTATCCTGGGTCTAGCTCTGTAGTAAAGTACTTTGGACTCTGATACAGAGTTAGCAGGTTCGAGTCCTGCTGTGGACGTAGAGACAATGTTTGCAAATAATTTCGCCTGTTTGCGAATTGTTAAGTGTATATATATATGTGTAAAACAACCACTGTGAAACAATAGTAAAATAGATAGTTCTTTGATAATGTAAGAAATCACGAAAGCGCTCGGAATTTCACTATTCTTTCACAGTGGTTGTTTTGCCTATTCTGATATCACTTGTTTACTGGGATTTTGTTCCATATATATATATATATATATATATATATATATATATATATATATATATATATATATATATATATATATATATATATATATATATATATATATATATATTTATAGCCATACAAGTATGGGGGTGTACACATTAGTTTTTATAAGTTGAGGTGGGTGTGAAAGGTTAATTGGGAACAGATTAATCAGAGTTAATGCTGTGACCAAATAACTTCATGATCATCACAGTTGTGTTGATCATGAATCTCATGTTAAAGTGTTGAAGAAGGAGGTCTACTTGTTCAGGAGGAAAATAGGAGGCTGAAGCTTCTTCTAGATGTATTTGGGAGTGAATGTGAGATGGATGGAGCTGGTAAGGAGGAAATGGTCACCAGCAGTTAGAGTGACAGCCGCTTTAAGTGGCAAGTGGTTCACAATTCAGGGAGAAGGAAGAAAAGGAAGGTTACTAGAGAAGATGTGGAAGTAGGAAATCGATTCTCTGTTCTCCAGGACGAGTGTACTTCAGTGGTTAGTGAAGTTGAAGGTACCACTGACTCCCCTGCTTATTAATGCAAGAATATTCTGATTGTGGAAGACTCTCAGCTAAGATATATGGACCATGCTTGTTGTAGCAGAGACAAGAAGATCAGACAGAGGGTGTGCCTCCCAGGAGCTGGTGTTGATGACATAGTCAGTAGGTTGGACAATATTATGTCAAGTAATGGGAACAAGCCCCCATTTCTATCTTAGTGCTGGTGGTAAGGACATTGGGTAGGGCAGGAGACAGGAGCTACTGGACAAGTACAGGTCAGCCATAGAAGTAGTCAGGTCTTAGGGAGGGATCCCAGTCATATATAACATCTTGCCTAGAGTGGGCAATGAATGGATGTCTAGGCAACTGGTATAAATTACTGGCTAGACAGGTACTGCAAGGAACTTTCAATCCCATTCAGTGATAAATGGGAATAATTTTATGGTAAATGTGATATGTATGCAAGGGATGGGGTTCATCTCTCTTTGGCTGGAGTGGTTGCATTAGCCAGTTCGACTGAGGGGGTAATTGATGACTTGTCTAGGACCTTAAACTGATAGATTATAGAGGTACGGATATTTGTGGGAAAGAATCAGGCTGCAGTATTAGGGTTGAAAACAGTAGATATTACCAGGATACTTCAGGGATATGTTTAAAAGACAATATTCAAAATAAAGTTCCAGGTAAAGGCAAAGCAATTGATCAACAAACAAAGAGAGATAGTAGAGGGCAACGAGTGACTAGCTCTCTTAAGGTTTACTATACAAATAGTAGGAGTCTAAGAAATAAGATAGATGAGCTACAATTACTTGCAAGTTCAGGTACTATAGATATTATTGCTATAAGAGAATCCTGGTTCAACCTGAAAGATAGAGAAATGCCTTCTGAATGCAACATACAGGGTTATAAACTATTCCACACTGATAAGGTTAACAGGAAGAGTGGGGGAGTGACGATGTATGTCAGAGATAATTTAAATTGTTGTCGTAGACATGATATAAGATTAGAAGCATCTGACACAGAATCTGTTTGGCTACGGTTTCTCAAGGGTCGTGACTAATTTTGGGTGTGATTTATAGGCCCTCAAACCTTGATAGGGAGTGCAGTAAGCTGTTATGAGACGAAATTCATAAGGCGTTCTAGATATGAAAATGTTGTGTTAATGGGAGATTTTAACTTTAGACAAATTAATTGGAACAATGTGACAGGAAATCTTGAGTCTAGTGACTTTCTTGATACGGTTCAGGATTGCTTTTTAAAACAGTTTGTGGCAGAACCAACTAGAGGAAACAATCTGCATGACTTGGTTCTTGCCAAGGAAGGTCACTAATTAATAATCTTGATGTTAGTGATGAGCTTGGGGAAAGAGATCACAAATCACTTAGTTTCAATATATCATGAAATTACCAATATAACTGCAATCAAATCTCTGTCACAGAGTTTCGCTTGGCCAATTTCATGGGATTGAGAAATTACCTGAGTGGGCTAAATTGGGATGACCTGATTATGGGTCAGGTAGGTGGTCGTGGTTGCCAATAAGACGTTTTTCAGAGCATAGTTCTAGCTGCCCAGACAACATTTGTTCCGAGTAGGGAAATTAGATCTAACAAAAATGATCCCAAATGGATGAACAATGAATTAAAACATCTCATTCGTCAAAAGCGAGGCATATATAGGCGTATCAAAAGAGGGGATGGGCAGTTAAGAAATCAATATATTAAATTAAAGAGAGAAATAAAAAAAAGGAATAAGAAAAGCAAAAAGGGATTATGAGGCTAAGGTTGTAAGGGATTCGAAGACTAACCCAAAAAGGTTCTTTCAGGTATACAGAAGTAAGATTATTGACAAGATAGGCCGACTTAAGAGTAACTGAGGTCAGATCACTGACAGTGATAAGGATATGTGTGAAATTTTCAGTACAGGAAGTTAATAAACTATGCACAAGTGGGATAACTAGTGACATGGTCCTCAGATAAAGAGAGAAATTAAAACCTAACAAATCCCCAGACCCTGTTGAACTGCTTGCAAGGGTTTTAAAGGAATGTAAAAACGAACTTAGCATACCTTTGGCTAATTTTTTCACATATCACTACAAACTGGCATAGTGCCTGATAAGTGAAAATGGAAAATGTAATAGCCATTTACAAGGCAGGTGACAGGTCCTTAGCTTCGAACTATGGACCAATAAGCCTTCCCTCCACAGTGGGAAAATTTATGGAATCGATAATTGCCGAAACAATTCGTAGCCATCTTGAAAGGCATAAATTGATTAATGAATCTCAACACGGTTTTACAAAGGGGCTTTCATGTCTTACGAATTTACTGACTTTTTTCACTGAGGTGTTTGAGGAGGTAGATCATGATAATGAATATGATATTGTGTATATGGACTTCAGTAAGGCTATCGATAGAGTTCCACATCAGAGCCTATTGAGGAAATTTAGGGCACATGGAATAGGAGAAATTTTTTCCTGGGTAGAGCCATGGTTGACAAATAAGCAGCATGAATGGGGAGAAATCAGACTGGGGGTACGTCACAAGCGGTGTTCTAAAGGGGTCAGTGTTGGGCCCGTTGTTGTTCACAGTTTACATATACGACATAGATGAGGGAATAAATAGCGACATAAGCAAATATGCTGATTACACCAAACTAGGCCGTCCAGTTCATTTTCTGAGGACATCAGAGCACTCCAGGATGATTTGAATAGACTGATGCAATGGTCGGAGAAGTGGCAGATTCAGTTTAATATAGACAAATGCAAACTTCTAAGTGATGGACAGGAAAATAACCATGCCACATGTAAACTAAATAATGTAGATCTTAATACTACTGATTTCGATAAGGATTTAGGAGTTCTGGTTAGCAGTAATCTAAAACTAAGACAACAGTGCATTAGTGTTTGCAATAAAGCTAACAGAATTCTTGGCTTCATATCTAGAAGTTTAAATAACAGAAGTCCTCATGTTGTTCTTCAATTCTATATATCTTTGTTTATGCTTCATTTAGACTATGCTGCTCAGTTCTGGTCACAGTATTACAGAATGGATATAAATGCTCTGGAAAACGTACAGAGGAGGATGACAAAGTTGATCCCATGTATCAGAAATCTTCCCTATGAGGACAGGCTGAGGAGCCCTGAATCTGCACTCTCTCGAAAGGCGTAGAATTAAGGGGGATATGACTGAGGTGAATAAATAAAGGGGATGTAAATAGCGTGCTGAATATTTCCAGCCAAGACAGGACTCACAGCAATGGTTTCAAGTTGGAAAAATTCCGATTCAGGAAGGTTAATGGAAAGCACTGGTTTGGTAATAGAGTTGTGGATGAGTGGAACAAACTCCCGAGTACCATCATAGAAGCTAAAACGTTGTGTAGTTTTGAAAATAGGTTAGATAAATTCATGAGTGGGTGTCGATGGGTGTGAGTTGGACCTGACTAGTTTGTGCTACTAGGTCTGATGTCGTGCTCCTTCCTTAAGTGGAAGTGATCTGACTAGGTATGTCATTGGTCCAAGCCGGGGGGTGACATGGACCTGCTTCGCATGGGTCAGTAGGCCTGTTGCAGTGTTCCTTCTTTTTTATGTTCATATGTTAGTATAATACACAAATAACCTTCACATTGGAAAAAGAAACATATGACGATATTTCAGTTCAACTTGGAACATTAACTAGACACACATCAAACAGTAACTTTAATTAATCACACTGTAAATAATAACTAAAACGTAAATACTTAATTACTTACCCATATTTACAGCACTGAAGTCACTGGTGAGAGAGTCATTATTTTTCTGAACGTAAAAAAATTCTTCTAACTTTTCTAGTTTCCCATCTTTCACGTTCGGAAACTTCAGTTTTGGCTTCCATATGCTCTCAGCTTCAATTCTGGACAATTTATTAGCATGTATATCCTCTCGAAGGTTTGTATATGTCAACCTAGAATCTCTCCACTCTATATTAACAATAAACTCAAGGTTAATAGTTTCTTCAACATCTTCAATTTTAAGAAAACGCAAAAAATTAAATATTAAGTTAGGCTGGAGAGGCTTTGATGGGTCAACAACATTCTTAGGAGGTTTGAAGCTGCGGTAACCTGCGGGCACTTGGAGAAGGGAACAATTGTCTTCATCTGTCTCGTCGTTACAGTCACTCTTGGCGTCACAACGGGCGGCTAGGTCGATACACTCACCATTGTCACACATATACTGATGACTTTGACATATAGACAAGCTTAGTTCAATTATGTTTCCCACTTCTTGTTCACATATGGGATACAGCAGCGTCCATTTGTGTCTGCCAAGTGGGTAAACAGTGTCAGACGCTACATTCAAGTAAGCTAAGGATTCGTTTTCCACAGTATTAATTAAAAGCCATCGCTTATCTTTTGGTTGTATTATCATTAACCCATAAAATCCATGAAAAAATGGCTTGCTTAAGTAATATCCAAGCACTTCAAACATAATTTCAGTCAATCTTTCCTTGCAAATACCTCGAAGAAATAGCGGAGATGTTGCTTGATCCTGACAGAGTGCGCAAGCTTTGTATGTCTTACAACTGTAATCATTCCATAAAGAGTCTTTTCCGTCAACCAAAACACAGTTTTCAAATGTTGTATTGTCAGGTTGTCCAAGTGCCCAAAATACATCTGTGACAATCTTCTTGTCACTCAGTCTTCTCCAGACTCCTTCCTCCTCTTCATCTGTTATGCCAACCCAAAGGTGAACTGTCGCACATATATTCTCTTCCCAAAGCGTTTTATTTACTCTTTCGCTTATGTGTTTGTTCGGCGGAGCATACAGAACAGATCCAATTAAATTGCACATAATCATTGACTCGGCAAATGTACGTCCTTCTGGTATAACTAAAAAGTCTTCGTTTTGGAGACAAACATTTTGTAGAGGCCATAAAGTAAAGTTCACATTGATAAGGTCAAAATTGTCTCTGTCACTTGAAAAAATATTTCCCTTTATATTTTCCTTGCAAGAAGCTGCTATTTCTATGTCTGTTTTGGAGAGTCCATAGCTCCAGAAATTTATTTGAGTTGCATATCCTTTAAAAATTTGCTCATGTTGAAATCGTCTTGAAATTCCGTCCTGTTCCTGTCCAATGACGAAGGTACCATTAAGTGGGATGACTCTGTTTTCTACCTCGATGGGGCCACTGACCATTGCAACGCCATCCACATATACAGTATACGTGTCCCCCGAAAAAACGTGGCAGAGGTGTCGCCACTGACGTAGGTAAGTCGGTAGTTTGAGGTTCTGTATGACTGGCTGAGGTTTATTGTTGTATCGAAAGAAGTGTGAACCATCAATGACATCTGGAAGGATGAAAATTAAGTTTATTGACATTCAGCTAATGCTAATGTTTATTGTCATTTAGCTAATGTTTGTTCAGCCTTGAATGAGAGCATATAAAATACTTACACATCATGATAGCATTAGAGAAATCTTCAGCCGTAGCGTAAGAAAGAAGAATTTGCAACGTAGTTAAAGCTGTGGTAAAATATCTGGAGCAAACCGTAAAGTTTGTGACACTGGTGGCCACCTGCTGGTTGCTCATGTTGAATCTTGTATAAACATCGTCTTTCGGTGGGATCCAAATGTCCGGCTGTAACATGAACACCCGAACATCTTCTCCTGAAAGTGAACAGGTGACTGTTATTTCAACACCATCAGCACTCCTGAGAGTAAACACCCTCCTCTCCTGAAAGTGAACAACCCACTTTATTATTACCAATGGTTTAGTCAGGTATCTTTCACGACCAACCAAGGCGTCAAGGATAAGTACTACAGAACTGTGTGGGCATAACGCACACAAGTGAATATACCAAGTACTAATGAACATATTAAATGCGAATAACTGACTGTCTTGAACTTTGTTATTGCAGGAAATGCATTATGATGTCTACGTGTTATGTAAATACATGTGTATTCAGAAGCATTGTTAAGAGCACATCAAGTATGTTCACAGGTCACGGACAAATATGAAATACAGAGATTATAGAGAATCTATCAGAAATCGTCACTAGGAAATGAATCAAGTGACAGTAATAATAATACTTCTGGTATAGCTGTAGGACTTTTCGAAAAGAATGGAGGAAATTAGCGCTAACATATATTTTTTTCAAACTGTGATGCCGAAGCCTAACTTGAGCTCAGTTATGATCAAAATGAAGAGAGAACAAAAAAGTTTAAGAGGCATATTTCCATTTTCAAGTTGGCGGAGTCATAGATGAAGCTGAAGCCAAGTATCACGTATATAAGGAAGTTTGAGGTCGACTCGGGTAATCGAAGTAACTCTATTATAAACAACTTGTTTAACGTCACAGCCGTAAAGGGTTTAGACTGGTCTGAAAATCTGGCATTTCTAGTCACAGTGGGGCCGATACTAATTACCTATCATATATAGAAATATATCTAGTTAGCAGAACTTTTCTAGGCTGGCATAATACTGTTGATAATACAATAGACTCCTAGTTTCAGAACAAGCTTGCCATGGGTTCCAACTCCAAATTCAGTGAGATATTTAATGACAATTACCAGATATTAAATCATAATACAAGAGGAATCAATGAACAATGACCTAACCATAATGTAACATTTCAGGGGTAATTGCCAGGGGTAATTGCCAGGGGTAATTGCCAGGGGTAATTGCCAAGGGTAATTGCCAGGGGTAACTGAAAATGGGAGTCCTTTAACTGAGCTATGTTTTGAAGGAGTTTTAAGAAACTCTACACCAAAGCACATTTTAAAGTCACTTCAGAAACAAATTTAGCCCTCAGAGAGTTCTGGAAGGACCATTTCAATATCGTCACCTGCTTGAGGGTTATAGACACAGCCTTTAGGGATGTGTTTTCCAGGACCATGCAGTCAGAAATTGTGTCCTGACTTTGTGGCAGCCAGGGATTCTGAAGGCTTTGAAGATGAGCCTTTGGTCTAGAGGTAACTGAATATAATATGGAGGACTTGGTGGAGGAGCATAGAACCAAGTGAGAGAGTACTTGTGGTGGGGGACCTAAATGTTAAAGTGGGTTAAACTGTCGTGGATGGAGTAATAGTTAAGTTTCGGTGCCAGGGCTAATTAAAAATGGGAGTCCTTTAATTGAGCTGTGTTTTGAAAGAGGTTTCGTAATAAGTAATACATATTTTAAGAGAAAGACGATAAATAAGCTTACAATATATAGCACGTCATGAAAGTAGTTTGTTAGATTATGTATTGGTGGGTAAAAGATTGATGGGTAGGCTCCAGGATGTACACGTTTATAGAGGGGCAACTGATATATCGGATCATTATTTAGTTGTAGCTACAGTTAGAGTAAGAGGTAGATGGGGAAAAGGAAAAATGGCAACAAGTATGAGAGAGGTGAAAGTGTATAAACTAATGGAGGAGGAAGTTAGGGCGGGATATGAGCAACTCTTGGGAGAAAGGTGGGTAATAGAGAGTAGTGGTAGTTCGGGGGCTGAAGAGGGTTTGGATAGTTTTTAAAATGTAGTTAGAATGCGAGGCAAAAGTTTGTGGCCATAGGAGTGTAGTTGTGGGAGGAAAGAGGAGTGATGGGTGGAATGGTGAGGTAAAGGGTGAAATAAGAGAGAAAAAGGTTGCTGATGAGAGGTTTTTACAAAACAGAACTGATGTAAGAAGGGTGGAGAATATGGAGAGCAAGAAAAGTGAAAAGAGTGACGAGGGACTGCAAAAGGAGAGCAATTGCTAGAGTGGGTGATGTGCTGTCAACAAGTTTTGCTGAGAATAAGAAAAACATTTGGAGTGAGATGAACAGGTTAAGAAAGTGTAGAGTGCAACTGAACTTGACAGTTAAAAACAGAGTAGGGGAGTTAGTAGATGAGGAGTTGGAGATACTGGGAAGATGGAGAGAATGTGGGAGGCAGTAATTTCATGCATTGGCCAGGGAGGTATAACATCTTTTAGGAGTGAAGAAGAGCCGGATGTGAGTGTGGGGGTCTAACAAGTGGTCGAGTCTAACAAGTGGCCTTGGACAACTTCATCAGGGAATTCTGCCATGAACCTAACACCGTCAGAATATATAGAACCATCTGTATAAACAGCAATGCCATGAACATACGACTGAAAGTGATCAAGAAAGAGAGAGTAAGAAGTAATTGTAGGCAGGAGAGCTTTGGTGCATGGCAGTAGGCAAGAACAGACACGAACCGTCGGAACCTCCTAAGGGGAAAGGGAAAAGGCAGACACTAAATGAACATACAAGGAAGGCAATTGGAGAGAAGATCGGAGTGAGTGAAGAGGATGAGAAAACGATTGGAGTAAGCAGGGGCACCGAACAAATAATGGGCTTCAACTAACGTCTGAGACCAACCTATACATAGAAGGAACACGAAAGTCATAAGCGCTGACAAAGTAACGAAGACAATGAGCATAGAGGCTTTCAACAAGGGATGAACGAAAGACACCAAGGCACAAACATAGACCCTAATGATGAAGGGGATCTAACTTAGAAAGAGTTGTAGGAGAAGCTGCAGAATAGACTTGGTTGCCAGCTTGGAAAAGACTAGGGTGGAATGCAAACTGAGAAGAGTTAGGCAATCTGCTCCCCATGAATGATACGCAAGAATTTAAGGAGATTCAGCTCACTATGGCAAGCTGCCTTCAAAGACGAAATGTGAGGTTTCCATGTCAACTAGTGATCGAAGAGAAGTCCAAGAAACTTGACCGTATCACATTCAGGAATACGTGAGCTGTGTAAATACAATGGAAAATCTCGGATAAGAGGACGTCTAGTGACGGTGATGAAATGGGTTTTCGTGCTAGAAAATTTAAATCCACGGGAAGTGGCCCAATGGGAAACTCTGTCAATCGCATCATAAAGGGTGGCTGCTACCAGGCGACAGTCTGGTAGCATACGCTATTGCAAAGTCTTCCACATAAAGTGACGACCAAATATGTGATGGAAGAATGGAAGGTAGGTCATTTATAGCCAAGAGAAAAAAGGTAGTGCTAAGGACACAACCTTGTGGGACTCCTTCAGCCTGAACAAAGTCTGATGAAAGTGAGGTGCCAACACGGACACGAAAATGTCTGTCAAATAAGAAAGCAGCAAGGAAGGTTGGTAGATTACCACGGAGGTCTAGGGAGTGAGCCTGGACTAAAATGTTATACCTCCAAGCGGTGTCATATGGTTTCTCAAGATCAAAAAGACTGCTAGGACAGAGTGTTTGTTAGTGAAGGCATTTCACACATACATATCTAAGTGGAGTAAGGGGGTCCGAAGTAGAGCGGCCCTTGTGAAATCCATATTGGCGAGAAGAAAGACTATTGTGAGTTTCCAAATACCATATCAAACGTCTGTTCACCAATCGTTCCATCACGTTACATCACTGTTCAGAGCAATGGGATGACAGTGAGAGATATCAAGCCTTGAGGTGCCTGGTTTGTGAAACGGTAGGATAATGGCAGATTTCCATTGTTGAGGGAGAACCCCTCGCGTCCAAATAAGATTGAAAAACGCAAAAGGACTGTAAGGGTTGTAGAATGCAGATGTTGTAGCATACTGATATGAATAAAATCAGGTGCAGCTGCCAATGACTGGCAAGCGGATAGCTTGCCAGTCACCGGAGAGTGAAAGGTATGTTATACGGCTCAGTTCCATTAGAGGAGAAATCCAAAAGTAATTGCTCCTTGGCAGACTTAGACACAAGAAACGAAGGATAAAGGTCAAGTCCTTGGGAGACATGGATAAGATAGTTCCCAATTTCCGTGGCAACTTCAAGGGGTTTCGCAACACTAACACCAGCAACTTGCAGAACAGGAGCTGGGTCCAGAGTGAACTTGCCACACAACTTCCATACCTTCTTCCCAACCGCATGCATAGGGGAATTCGAGGTATTGGTAGACAACAAGTCTTGCCAACAAGTGAATTTAGCATTGCGTATGATGCGGCAAGCGACTGCCCTTGCCCGCTTAAAATCCAAAAGACGATCTGAAATTCAATTATATCGATAATTGCCCCACGAAGCATGTTTCAAATGCACTGCACAGGCACAGGCAGTAGACCACCAAGGCACACATGTCTGAAAATGCCTGCCTGAGGTTTGAGAAATAGAACATGATGCTGCAGTCAAAACTAAGGTTGAAAACTGGTGTACTAGCTCATCAGTAGAGGACAAAGGAGGATCCCGACAAAAGGCAGTAAGATGAGAGTCTAAGTCCAAATTCATTCATCTAAATTGCCAACGGGGGTTATGAGGCGGTCGAAAATACGTAGTAGAAGTAAGAAGAATAGGGGTGTAACCTGAAGAGATGTGCCAGCGGAAACAGAAGAGTCTTGTGGTGGAACAGGAGAGGAAGGAGTTTGGAAAGTAACTCAGGAAGTCTGGGGGATGGGGAACAGAAGAGAGGGGCCCACCCAAGGAGGGGGTGAACCTCCACCTCGTGTAAGAGTTAGAAAGTGGGTGAGAACTAGGCACCGAGGCCGAAAAGGAAAACTGCTGGGGAACTGTAAGTACTGGAGGAATGCAAAGAGACTTGGGCTTATGAGACAGGTTTAGCTTTGCAGGTGATAAGCGTGAAGATGAAGGCATGCAAGGCCTTGCAGAATGAGAAACTAGCTGGTGAGAAGAAGTAGAGTTAGGAGTAGGTATGGAGGTGGGGCTTTCAGA